TGCCATGCTGAGCCCATTGTGCAAACTGAGATTTGTGGGTGCGGGTGAATGCAGACATCTTCTGTCACTGGCATCCACTTCCTCCCTTCCCTAGGAAAACTGACAGGACAGCCCACCTCCTTATGTAAGCTGACCAAGATGAAGCACTCCTTGCAATTACAAATTGGGCAATTATTGTGAGTTTGACCATATGAGTGAGACACACCAGACAGGGATCGAAGGAAAAGGATTGCTTTCTCCATCTGGTCTTGCTTCCTTAGCTGTGACCTTCCTCAAATACTAAGGGGAAAAGTAAGAAGTAGCCAAACAATCCTGAATAAACTGGCTAGTTAGATCAATGTGAAGAATACTTTCTGATGCTTTCTGGCAGATAGCTAAAGCATGAGGTTTCCTTTATACACATTGTGTTGGTCTGTCTCTTGACTTCAGGTAGAGGTAACAAATGGGAAGATTCATATTTCAGACTTTTTTTTGTCTGCAGTTATAATCTGCCCAGGCATGCTGTGTTGAAAGACTGTAAAAAGAGATTGTATGTGTGTTTTTCACCCCATTCCTCTTGTGCTGTGTTTTGCATCTCACTGATGCCAAGAAGCAGTGCTGCACTTAACTGCAGTGTTGCACTCAATGCAGGATGCAGACATCATTCCTGCTGGAACTTCTTTATAAACTGCGGTGCTAGCAGTGAAGCAGCTGTGCTTCTGGAAATGCACGAATGTGTGAATTGGTGTGGTAAACAGATTAGATGACAGAAATTCAGGTCGTTATTCTTTGAGAGTTGATTACTAACCCTAGAATACCTTTGGAAAGCATTAGCCAAGACGGCCTGCAGATCCAAAGGATGCATTGACTTGTTAATGTTTTAGTGTAATTGTTGTTAAATGTTACAGAATAATGAAAGCCAGTGGCACCTGCATTGTTAATGGTGTTATTGTGTTACCATTATTTAAGGGGAAAAAGCAAGAATAGTCAACATCTGCAGAAGAGAGGGACTTTGAAAGCATACAACGTTAATAACTGTGCTATGGAAGTTTGTGTTTCAAGGAAATAAACATTCTCTGTGCTTTTCTGGTTTTGCTTGGTTTTAACCAGATGTCTGAGATTGCTAAACCAGAGACACCTCAGTAAAGACATAAATGAATAATTTGAGCCATGTTTTCCTACATCATGTTTTATAAATTTGCTCTTGAACTAGCTAAGAGGAGACCAGGGTTTGAATTTGCAAAGGAATAAAATGCTTACAGCCCTTCAGTGCTGTGAGTGACTTTGTGTTTCGAATTCTTTCCAGATGAGACATTTTCTTTACAGAAGTTGTGTCAGTATAGGCAACATCTGCCAGTATTCTCAGGTTAATCTACATTTAGCTTTTGTAGAAACAATAATCTTCCTTGCTAACTTTTGCTTCCTTTCTCAACTCTGTGTTGGTGAGATGAAATCTAAGCAGTGCAAAATTAAGAGCAAACAGATGTTTTGATCAAGCTTGAAGTCAGCTTTCACTTGCAAGGCTTCATCTAATTTAATTGCTGCAGTTTTTTGCCCCCAGGTGCATGAAGCAGATCCTGGTTATTCCTGCAAAAATTGTAAGACTGCAACAGTGAAAAAAAATTGATCTTGTACTCGGGATTCATCTTTTTTTTTTCAGTAAATCACAGTTTTCTAAACTTCTGTCTGGATCAGGCAAAATGTATTGAAAAAGAATTTTTGAAGTTAAGGTCTACAGCTCAATCTCAGTTTAGAGTAATTAACCATTGATGTAATGTGAGGTGCTTGCCTGAGTCAGCTCAGGAAAGATTTATCATGGTCACAAAATAGCCCTTGGATGCAATTGTTTATGTTTAAGTGCCTGTACACGACCTCAGTTTCGTTTTAGACAAGACAAGCTGCTGGTATTGTCTTCCTGCAGGTAAAATGCACTAAATGCTAAACTGTTGTGTTTCACGAAGTAGTGTTTAGTAGCAACAGACTATTTCTTTGCATGTGGTGATAAAAAACAAACAAAACAAGTGCCTTTGTTGTGGACTTCTGTTCACTTCAGCAGTAAAATTTGCCTTATGGAAGTAGTGTGTAAAATTTGTATTGCACAGTCTTGGTGGGAGCATACCATCACCTCCAGAGCGAGGCCTTTCGCTAGTTTCTTTACAGAAATAATTCTAGTGCCATCCTGATTCACTGGAGTTGGCTGTCCTCCTCGACATGTTCATGCTGTCTCCTACCCTTTGTGCCTTCAACAAAATGTTAACAGTTTTATAGAACAACAGATAGTACTTTGGTGCAAGCTACATGTGCATGTGCTTACACAGCTAACAGAATGAAGCAGCAAACTAAAGGGTGGTATCCACAAAGTTAAGCCCTTTGAAAATCCTTTAAGGCTTAAAACTGTTACATGTCTGTACACAATCACAGTTTACCTGTCAAAATTTTCTTTCTCCATCAGAAACAACTTTCCAGCAACTGAAGAAGTATTTTTATCAAAGACAAAAGATATTTTTATCAAAGGATTTTTAAGGGAACAGATCTTGGTTTGAGAGGTGCTGAGCAATGGGAATAGGAAGCTGCCTGTTCCTGGCAGCTAGGAGAGAGCCAGGAACCTGTGGCTGTAGAACCCCATACTCAGCTGCTCTCTTGTTGAATTTCTGTTCTTAAGTGATTGTCTCCAAACTCAGTAATGAAAAAGCATGGCAGCTTCACCAGCTTCAGTGTCAGAGTTGTTTGACTGTTAGACAGTTGATTCTTGTACTGTATTTTTCAAGTTTTAGAATGTCTTCAAAAATTGATGTTTTGCTTGTGTTCTGAGTAAAATTTGAAAAACCTGTCTGAATGTGCTGTTCAGAGTTGGGTACCTAACTGATCTTTGTGCCCTTGCAAGTCTGTGCACTCACCCATTGTGGTTAGTGAGATGGAATTTAACTCCTTTGATTTCATTCTTTCTCTTTTTTTTGGGAGGTAGGAGAATTTACAAATTTTTTTCCAAAACTGTTTACAGGATGCTTGCTGGGACCTCAAGTTAACCTTCACAATCCAGGTGTCTGTTATGTCTTAAAAATTCAAATGCATAGCTCTGTGTATCCTTTAAGTTTGTTTTCAATGCCTTTAAATGAAGGCTCCAGATAATATATAACATAAGTTTAAAATACCTTCCAGTAGAAATATGTAGGAGATATAAGAGATGTAATTGAAAATTTAATTATTCTTTTTTACTGTGTGGTTGAAAAAACAACCAAATGTAGTTCAGCAGTTTTCATAACTAGAAGATTTCCCTCTGTCTCTAAAACCTAGTACCTGTGAACTTGCTAATGTCTCCCAAAATTAAGCCAAGCACACAAAAAGCAGCAGCTTCATCTGGTCCTGTCTTTTGACTAGTCTGTAGAAGTTGTCCATCCACAGAGCGGGTCCAGAGCTCTAGCAAAAATAAAATCATGTGGTTGACTTTATTACATTATGTACAGGAAAAGTAAGTGGGTGAGATAAAATATTCTAGCTCTAAAATTACTAAAAATAAGTACTCGCACTTTGCTTTTCTTCTCTTTTATAGAGCATTGCAAAAAATGCTACTCCTCATGGAACAGTTCACAGTATATATTTATTGAAATTGTAATCTCAGAATAAGAGAGAGTACCTAAAAAAGGAATATAATTTAATTATAACCAAAATCCCACATAGCAGCACTGATCTTAAACTGTCTATATGAAGTGTTGTGTAGTGGTTTAAGTGATGCTACCTTTAATACTGAAATTAATAGACTTTTCTACAATTTCTAGGTTTGGCTTTCAACTTAATATAAACTACAGATGATATCCCTTTAAAATTCAGGTGCAGATGTGATAGAACCAAATGATGACTTCTCCTTTTGTATTAACCTTTGTGTTACAAGAATATATTTGTTCTGAAAAGCCTTGGCAATTAATTTTCTCCATTAAAGAACAGCCTGCTTTTCATTCAGCAGTTTGCTATTCTATTACTGCAGAAACTGTTTACCACGGAAGGGGATAATGTGACTTAAAGAAGATGGCTCAATCCTATTTGGCAGGATTGGAGGGGGTGGCGAACGCTGGACATTTGCCGAGAGAAGCTGTGTGAAGCATAGCATCTGTTTAGCGCGGTGGGTTGGCGTAGCGAGGAGGACCACTGCATCCTCCGAGGTGCAACGTGTGCCTGCGTGCGTGTGTGTGTGTGTGTGTGTGTGTGTGTGTGTGTGCCGGCGCAGTGGCTGCTGCTGCGGAATTCCGGGGATGAATTACTTGGTGTGCACAACTGAAGGTGCCGTTCGCCCCACTAAAGCGGCGCGGCGTGCGCTGCCACTAACCTGAGAGAGGCAGCCTGCGGCTCTGCGTGACAGCTCGAGGTGGAAGGACCCCAACTTGCGGTCCTCCCCCCGCCCCCAAGAGATCCTTAGTCCATTCCTTTATAGTGGTTCATTTGGCTCTCTGTCATCGCCAGAATGCTGCCCGTGAATGTGTGTCATGATTACAATAGAGCGTGGTAACACATAACAGCAATGAAAGCCCAGCGGGAAAGGCTACAAATTCCAGGGCTGACCTTGGAGTAAGTATTGTCTGTCTTTAATATTTTAATGGTTTCTGCATGATGCCGGCTTTTGTGCAGTCAGGAGCTTTTAACATACGTTTGTGCTGACAGCCTGGGAGCACTGCAGCTCCAGGTTGAAGGAGCACGTTTTCAATGCATTGCAGTTGGTTTCAGCAAATGTGTGAGCCTGGAGCCAGGATATTGCAGTGTGCTTGGAAAGAAAGCGTTTCTGTATATATAAAGTTACTGAATCTCACTGCATGAAGGACTGTCAGCTTGTAGGAGAAGAATCTGTCAGTAGGCCATGGTGTCTGTCTTTCTCTTCAGCTCTCCGTTGCTGTTTGTTTATCCCGGTGCTGCCTTTTAGAAAGGCCTCTTTCTGTGCTGAATAATAGAGAGCACTGCAAGAGATTAAAGCATTATAAAAATACTGTTTGTGAAAATTCATCAGGAACAAGCCATATTTTACATACGTAACTGCACTAATGACCTGTATTGACATTCTGGAGGAATCGTGATAATTTCTGCAGTAAGTATGTTTACCTAATTTAGCAGTGTGTTTACTTATACTTGCTTAAAACTGATTAACTAATTTGTGTGCTTTCAGCTATTTAGAGAGTAGCTAAATGAACATGTGTAATTTTAATGTATAGTGATAGTAAGTGTAGTCTTTTATTCATAAATGCCAGCATATATTTACCCCAGAAATGTTAGTCTAAGCCAAATATATATTTCTATACATATGTACCTGTAGTCTACACTGACATGTCAGGCATGTATGTATGCATGTTACAGCCATGAGAACTTGCTAATTTTATCTAGGTAAATAGATAGGCTACGTCAGATCCTTTAGTATTCCCTGGGACTGCCCCATTCTTGCTGGATTAAAAAAACCCAACAAAACCATGAATGCTGCAGATGCCTGCAGTAAAGTTATTTAGCTATGAAAGGTATTCTTTCTGGCATCTGCCATGTGTTAAAGAGAGGACTATAGGTAAGTGTGCAGCATAGCAAATAATTTATTCTAATAATCTCTTGAAGGTGACAGAGCACTTTATTCCAAGGAACAAATGTAGATGTCATACTGGTTCTCCAGAACTACATTTGTGAAATGTCTGAGAAATTCTGGATTTCAGTCAGGCATCTTCTGGTAAGAATAATGTGTGTTAGCTGTGGGCAGGCTAAACTCCAGATATTTTTCTGAAAAAAACCGCATTACTAATTTCTCATGAGTTTTGGAGGAGGGGTCTTATCAAAGATCTCATTAAAATGGTTTCCATGAATAATTGATAATTATACTTCTTTTGAGATGTGGCAATTGAAATATTTTTAAATCAATCTTCACTGAATTATGTAATCATCATGTGAGAGTAGCATCACTAGCTGCAAAGGATGAAAAAGGATTCATGTTTTTCAATGTATGTTTGTGTTTTTATAATATGAAGTATTTGTTTACTTCTTCCTCCTTTTTCACAGTAACCTAACATAATTCCACTTGCTTTACCATATTTTCAAAATACTTAATACCGATAACATTAATAATTACATTTTAAGTTCAGTATTGATCTTTTTTTTTTTTTTTGCTAGAATGTTGTCTGGATATATTTACTTTTTCCATATATTTGAATTAATTTTATCATCACACTTGCTACTTTTTGAACTTGATTTTCCTGTAGAGAAAAGAAAATACCATATTTTGGTTGCTGACACATAATGATTTCCATAGAGTCATTCTCTCATGATTTCCAGAGTTGAGTCAATGCAGACTTAAATCATGTCTCCCAAACTGTTAATTGCAATCATTTAAAGAAGAGCATATCTAGGGGGGAAAGAAATCCAATTTATTCCTCTCACCCTGAGTCTCATGAATTTTCTTTCAGTAAAGTTTAAATGTTGGGACTAGAATTATGTTGTCTCCCTGAGAAGCAAGTACAGTCTGTCTACTTTATATTCATTACTTGCAAAAAGCTCCTTGAAAGAATATTAAATCCAAAATAAAGCATTCCAAATTTAGTAAGTGTAAGAAGTAGGGTTGTCATGCACTGTGATAATTTGTTTTAACAGGTTTTCTTAGGTCTTAAAAAAGCAAAGCTGAAGAGTGAGTTCTATGGAAGAACTGGATTGACACACCAGTATCATCGTTTAGTGGGAATTTTTAGATCCATAGTACTAGCACATCTGATATTGGATGCTCTCAGATTCTGTGTCATTACTGAGACTCTGATATGTTACAGTAGTGAAAATGAGGAAGAGTATGAGTAGCTAGCTACTAGCCAGTGTAGGACTTCTGCTTGCAGTGTGTGAGCTGTCCAGTGGAAGAAGTGCAATGCCCTTTGCCTTAGAGTATTTCTAGGATTTCTTCACAGCAAGGTGAATTACGGATCTCAGTCTGGGCTTTGAAATTGATATATTCTTCTTATTCAATGCCAGAGCTGGCTTTTTCATCTCCTTTTAGCCATTCTGTCTTTAGTAGATTCCTTGTCCCCAGTGGTTACTCCAGAGCAGTCCCCTTGCTCTCCCTTTGCTGCAGCCCCGTGCTTTTGGCTAGCTGGTTCCAGTTCTCTTCTCCCTCCACCTGGACTATCTTTGGATCAGTTCCAGCTTCCCCTCACTGCTTCTGATCCTGATGGAGGCTGGTGGTGGTCTGCATGGCCTGCCTCCACATCTTACCTTGCAGTGTCCCCAGGAACTGCAGTGCAAGCACTGACTGCAGCACAGGATCGTTTTCCAGCCTACAGTCAGTCTTGGCCTGAACTGACAGGTGGACAAAAGGGGGACAACTGAAAACTACCAGCTCTGCTGCAGCAGAGATGAAGAGATGGAGCAGATAAAGCAGAGAAATACAAAACCAGTTTTTACAAGTCTGCACTGCAGTGATCATACAGAAACAATGATCCTTCCAGTGCGTGTTGTTGCAGGTCAGTGCAGTGCAATGCAACAGAGACTGCCCCAGTTGAACAGCCGAAATCTGCCTGTTGATCCACACCTTTTTCTGCAGGCCTGTATGGGCTGCCTGGTATGAACCTGGGTTCACTTTACCCATTTTCAGAGTTATATATTGAGCCATTGGCTCTTAGTGTATTTTGTCAGATCAAAGGTATTGTTGTGCTAGCTCAGGTAGTCTGCAGTTAAAGCCAAACTACCTTGTACTCAGCTGCTAGTGCTCCTCTGTGCACCTCCTTCAGAGATTATGGAAGCAGAGCCAGCAGCCAGAGGAATATACTCATACACAGTAGCCTTGTCAGAAATTACCCTCAGGCCCATCCTTGTCTCAGTGTGCATGTCCCTGCCAAACTTTGTGCCTTCTCCAAGGCATCTCAAAAAGGAAACAGTTACAAAAATGTACATTGTTGAAATTGCATTCCTAATCTGTTCTAGAAGCAGTAGTAATCTTCCTGCTGAAATGTTCAGAAAAAACCTGGATCAGGTGTCCACCTTGAAAGATTTTGAAGGCAGTGTATTAATATCTGGCAAAGTGTTACACAATTGAAAAAATGGACCTTAGCTGTGCATAGCATATTAGCCATCTGCATCTCCACTGAGGACAGGACAGGAGTGCTAGCATTGGCTGCCTGCAAGGGTCTGGTACAAAGCAGAACAAATCTTTATGAAGATGAGCTGAAAAAGTTCCCCATAAGCTTCTGCCTTCGCTCAGTCTGCACAGAGTGTTCTTTTTGACAGACAGCTAAAGTGAATTGCCGTGAGAGGCATGCTATGAGCATGTTTTTTAAAAGAAGCTTTCCTGTGAATTTTATGGGGAAATGTGCATATGATAGGATGAGTATATTTTAAAGGAGCATCTCTGAAATCTGGCGGTGGCCGGCTGTTTTTTTGAGAAACCTTTTGAGTGGAGATGGACTTGAGGCAACTTCTTGAGGACACCTTTGAAGTCAAACGCTCAAGTAAGGATTTTATGGATTAATTGTTTATATCCATGTTTGATTACCTAGAAGAAGAACTTGACGTTTGTGAGGAAGCATTTCATAATGAAATTGAGGCTAACTGGAGCACTTCTAATTTTCAGTAAGTGAAAATTAGGCTCTCACACTGGAAATTTTTATTTATAATTTTCATATTGCTGGTGGAGGTTTATCATCAGTTCTAGTTTTCCTTTTGTTTTGATAAATCTGGTTTGCATATAAAAAACTTAAACCCCTGCCCCCCAAGATTCTTTAAGAGGGGAAAAACACCCAATCTGTGTATTCTGTTGGGTTAGATGTCTAAAAAAAATTACCATGTTTCACCCCTCTTGAGACTTTGTACACAAGTATTGTACTTGGAAGAAGTCTGAGGTAGTCAAGCATATGCATCAACACCAGTTCTCATATTTATTTTTATTTAAATCAATTTCATCTTAAGTCAAAACCTGTGTGGCTACTGTCAATCACTTCATTCAGGAGGATGGTCATGTTTTGGTTCTATCCGAAACTCCTTTCATAACTCCTACACTAAAACATGCAACTCTTGGTAAACCTTCTGTTCACTAGAGATGACATTATTTTAACTTGCAGTCTCACCCCAAGGAGCCTGAGCCCAACCCCAACAAGCCCCTGCAGTCCATGCAGTCCTCTGTTCGCTTTTCATTTTTGGAGGTAAGCAAGTAAACTTCCATTGTTGATGTTTTCTTCTGCATCCAAAACCCAATGATCAAAACATATTGCAAAAGGAAAATTGAAAAATAGTAAAAATTAAGTATGTGTCTGCCAAAATATGTTTTACTTGACCAGCTGCTGTTCTAAAGGTAGGTATTTTATGGAAAAACCCCCAGGATAATCTGTATTTTGAGACCTATTATGCAGACTCAAGATACTAATGTATGATTCTGTGTTGCTTTGACTGCTTAGGAGTGTATCTGAAATTTTATAGTTTGCTTCCTGTGATCATCATGATTGTATTCTGTTATGTGAGAAGTTTAGAAGCTTAAGGTGCATTCAGAAATGAGGGTGATTCATGAAACACATAGTTATTTTTTGCTTAAGTGAGGGCTAGTAGTGTGCTTAGTGAGTTGAATGATTTAGAAGAACACAAAATCATATTCAGTAATTGGTAGGACTGTTTTGTCCTCAGGACGAGGAGGATTTTAAGCTTCACTTCTATTTCAGTAATGTTCTAGATAAGCCTTGACAGCCACATACAATATCCTTTTCACCCCCTTCTTCCTTCAAATCCCATGCTTGTTCATAATTTTTTTTGGCACTTGTCAGAAAGGTACAGTTATCCTCATGAGATCAGAAAATCATTAAGTGATAGAAAATACTTTGTAATTCTTCCTGTTATGTAAAATTATAATAAATTAAAATTGATGGATGGTTCTGAAACAGAAAACTTTTTTTCCTTCCTTCTTTTCTTTTTAGAGCAGGAAGTTGCTAGTCAGGGATCTCATTGGTGTCAGTCATTGAGATTCTGCTCCATAGGGAAGGGAGTTTTTAAAATGAGTTACTAATAAGTCATCAGTGCCTCATGGATTAAAAAAAAACCAAAACCAAACCACTTCTAATTTTGGTCAGAGGTCTCACTTGTTACTGTGAGAATAAGAACTACCACCTTCTTAAATTACATAATGAAGTATATTTGTGCTTTTTTTTGGTACAACTTGGAACATAGTGTGGCAAAGGTGAGGGTTGCTTGGATGTGTTAACCTGCTTCAGTATACTTTAAAGTTAAAACCAGATTAATAGGTGAGAGCTCTTCTATCAAGGGTTCACATGACACTGAAAAATGGAGCAATAACCTAAAGACTTGATACATGTTTCTGAAGAAATATGGTAGTTTTTTATATATTCTGTTTTGTTAGGGAAGACATGGTATGAGAATTACTTATTTGTGCAATTTTCAGTATGATTTAAATAAATTAAAAAAAAAAACAAACACATTTTTTTCCTCAGTGAAAACACTTTCATAACGTTTGTTTGATAAATTATCAGCAAGTCATCAGCTGGTATAGAATGCTTGGTGAAATTAGAATTTTCTAATTGGGTCTTTATTTTATACAGCCAGAAAAATCACTTCTCTCTGTGGTGAAGGATGTGCTCTTCTTAAAAATTTCAGTTTTGTGGAATCAAAAAGCTGTATACGAATTTAATATTTTGTATGACCTGGATGACTCGCTGAATGGGCTCTGCAGATGTGTGGATGTGCTGCTGTGCAAACTGTGTGATAGACAAAGCCCTCAGTGTTTTTAGAGCTCAGACCTTGCTCAGACCTGGGTGGCAGCGATTCCCAACAGTGACAAGTTGGAGCTTTTCATCCTATGATGGAGGATGTTGGGAGCAGACTTTTCAGATACTTTTTGAAGAAATAGAGTGGAAATTATTGTTAGTGCTTAATGTGAAGCCTCATCCCCTGATACGGCTGGAAAATATCTAAGTTCATAGGGATTTTTCCTTGGTTCTTTTGTCCTGAAATTTATGTAAGGCTGCCAGAATGGTTATTTTTTCCCTGGAGTGAAAATGTTTAAAATCTGATTAAATCTGAAACAGAGTGCTGTATTTATCTGTAGCTGGAGAGCTGCTGGTGTATTGAACATCAAATGTTTCAGTTATTAGTTACTCTTAAGCTTGACCTAGCATAGTGGAAAGATGAAATGTGTTGGTTTTTAGGGTATATAAATAATTAGCATTTCCATTAGCTCAGAGTACTCCCGTATGTGGGAGGAGAGGAATTACTTCAGTGACACTACTTTTGCTTATATTCAGAAATGTTAACATGCAGGCCATGCATCCAGAATGAATGGATAGGGTTTTCCTGTGGCATTTCTCTCTCTCTCTAACATGCTGGCTCATCTCCCTCACGGCCTTTGACTTGCACAGCTGCTCCTTGGGCGGTTTTTGTTGAAGTTCTGCTTATAGCATTTGTCACATACTGTAGTAGTCTAAAGGTAACCTCTTGCCAGCTAGATGATGAAGATTTTTGAAATAAACAGTAACATCCTGTGAATGGAAATACCTGCCTGCTGGTACAGTGTGAAGCTCTCCATTCTATACTTCTGGGAGAGGGTGGGGGATGAAGTGGTAATTCAGATCTCTGAAAGATAGGCACACATTTGCCATTATATTTTTATCTTTGGCGTGAGTCACCTGAAAACTTCCAACTTCTGTTTGGGGGAGAAGTATGTGCAGTTCTAGTACTAATAATTATAAGCAGCAGATTTGCAAGGAAAGAGAGAAGATGGTGTAAATAACTGAGCACAGCTACTGAGATATTTAGGATCCTCATGCTTCTAACATAAATTTAGTGTTTTTCTTTGCCTTGGACAATTTGAAGTCCTTTGTCACAGTAATGGGGAGTGGAATGGGGAAAGTATTTGAAAAAGACCAGGAGGGAGCACTAAGTGCTAGAAGTTGTAGTGGCTTCTAGTAAAAGCAATAAAGGAAATTGCAATACTAAATTAAAAAATATGTAACAGCTTGCATTTGAACCTGAAGAGTACAGAATGTTGATTGCCCACAAAAAAATCTTTTTATTCAACATTTTGCTTTCCTGATGTCACTGATACTGAGCTGGGGGAAAAACATCTCTAAGGCAGTTGATAGATAGCTCTTAGTTTCTACAAAAAAGAAAAGATTTTAGTGAATTTTCCAGAAAGCCTTTACTCAGGAGCATGAGCATTGCACATGTGTCAGGTACTGTACAGACACAAATGTTTCTACCTGGCTAAGACTGGTGAAGAGGTAGACAGGATTCATTCCAAAGCTTTGAAAAAGAAAGCGTCAAGTAAAAAAGCCCTCCATATACTTTTTTTTAAATGGTTAATTTTTCTAATAGACTCTTTAATGAAGAAGATCCAGTTCACCTGACCATATCTACAGCTGAGTTAGCAGGGAAGCAAATCAGGATTATTATCTAAACATTTCAGTAATGTAATCTGCTCTTTTGGGAAGCTTGTGAGGATGCCACTGTAAACACTGCATTTTACATAGGGTCATGGTGTTAAATGATTACATATGTGTTACCAAAAGCAGCAATTAGAAGTATAACTGGCATCGATTAGACCTCATCCTGTGGCACTGAATTGAAAGAAAAACAAATGTCAGTGTCACAGATAGCTTTGCCACTTTTTGGTATTTAGTAGTAAGTTTTTATATCTGGAAATTGCCAAAAAATGTTGACACTTGCATTTTCTTTAAATGTAACCTGAATCTGTAATATGAATGAGTAATTATTACAAAGGGAGAATTAGTATGAGACTTTAAAATATAATTTTATACAAATAAAAATTCAATTATTAAATTCTATAAGAAACTTTATTTAAGCTGTATAAATTCATATACCAAATTGTTGAATACAGAAATAAAAAGTCAGTGTGCTCCTGTTCTTCCAGTTTCTCTGTCTGCATCCCCTTTTTCCCCCCCATGACATTCTGTATCTCAGAATCAGATAAAGACAGAAGGCTTAAAATAGCTACATTCTAACAACTGTATTGGCCTGTATTATGAAATCATCAATTAAATAGATGACTTCTGTTGAAAAATGAACAGTAAAGTTTCTAGTTCTAGTGATTTCTTTATTGTTCTGAAAGTGAGTACATTTAAAGAGCTTTTAAGTGTTTTCTGGCTCTGTGTGATGCTGTGTGGGCATGTGGGGCATATACACTCATATGAAAGATGTGATGGACAGTAGGGATTTAATTTGCTATTTGGTTTTTACCATGCTGAAGGCAATAGTTTGTTTCTAAACTTAGCAATATTCCTGTGTTTCAGGAGGAAAGTGGTGTTGAGAGTGTTGGTGTGCTGCACTGCCCCTGTGGGCTGGCTGGGCTGGGTCTCTCTGGGTGAGGGAGAGCAGGCCTTTGTTGGGAGTGAGGAGGGCGTGGGGAGCGCTCCTCAGCATGGGGTGTGCTTGGACTGGCACTCCGCTGCCTTTGGCAGCACTCGCTGCCCACTCAGACCTCAGCAGCAGCCAAGGTGACAGCTGTTACACATGCTGGTTAATGATTAAATCTGGTGTATGCATGCAGTCTAGGTAGACAGGGAATACTGCGAAAAAAGAAGGACTAGTACTCACTCCCTGATGAGGAGGGACTTGTGCAGAGACATGACATGATTCTCTCAAGCAAAATTGTCATAGAGGAGTTAGCTATTAAATTTGGACTCTTCTGGTCTCAGAGTAGTTGAACTTCTATGTAATTTTACTATGGAACTGCTACTTCATGGATTCATAAGGCATTATAAAAGACGAGATGAGTACATCTCAGAGGATACCTCCTTTCTCTCCTCAGTGACATAACCTCCATACCCAAGCAGACATTTTTTTAAAACTTTGTTTCCACCTTCGCTTTCTGATACCAGTGCAAAGTACATTGACCTTAAGGTTATGCTGGAAGATGAAGCTGTGATTTGTTAATTTGTTACCCTGAAAGGGGAAGTTCTTGGGAATGGCTGATGTGGATGAATTAAAGAATCACTTGGCTCAATTTCTTTCTCAAATTTTTCTTTAAAATGAGGAAAATCTGCTGTTTCATCTCTCAAGGTAATCTGATTAGTATTCATGAACATCAGCCATGAAGCACGAGTTCCTCAAGGTGAAATAAATTAATCTT